TGCGTCTAGATACCCTTAGCTTGGCTGGTCACGTTGTCCTCCCACTTCCCCTTCTTCTTTGGTTCCTCCGCTTCCTTGCCCTTTATTATCCCTCCATTCCCCCTCTCAATATTCTGCAGATTCCTGCAGCTGTGCTTCTATGCTGAACGTCGCCCGCAAGACATTCAAACGAGTCCCCAGCTTTCAGGACCTCCTACAAGGCAGAATGACCCACCCCGATATGTAAGGACTAACTCATCTATTCAAACATCCATCGTCTCTAACAATTGGTTTGCAGTTCTGTTGACGTTCTCGTCATTGGTGCTGGCCCAACTGGCTTGGGTGCCGCCAAGCGTTTGAACCAGATTGTAAGTCTTTTCTTTCTCTGAATGTTTACTGTGTTGGAGAGGGGCACATGTAAACAAAAAAAAAGGGGGAGGGGTATCCCGGATTAAAAAAAGCTAATTGAGTATACAGAATGGCCCCTCATGGATGATTATCGACTCAAACGAGATCCCCGGTGGTCTGGCTTCCACTGATGTTACCCCCGAAGGTTTCGTAAGTTGTGACTTGGTCTCAATTGTGTCCCCACTCCAGACCGCTAACTTGGTTCACAGCTGTACGATGTCGGCGGCCACGTTATCTTCTCCCACTACAAGTACTTCGACGACTGCATCAACGAGGCCCTCCCTAAGGAGGAGGATTGGTACACCCACGAGCGTATCTCCTACGTTCGCTGCCAGGAGCAATGGGTTCCCTACCCCTTCCAAAACAACATCTCCATGCTTCCCAAGGAGGAGCAGGTGAAGTGTATTGACGGCATGATTGATGCTGCTCTCGAGGCCCGCGTCTCCAACACCAAGCCCAAGGATTTCGATGAGTGGATCGTCCGCATGATGGGTACTGGTATTGCCGACCTCTTCATGAGACCCTACAACTACAAGGTCTGGGCTGTTCCCACCACCAAGGTAAGTTTGACTTGTTTTTTGTTCCCCGGGTGATCGAACCAATGCTGATTCATTATGTTTAGATGCAATGCGCTTGGCTCGGTGAGCGTGTCGCTGCCCCCAACGTCAAGGCCGTGACCACCAACGTTATCCTCAACAAGACCGCTGGTAACTGGGGTCCCAACGCTACCTTCCGTTTCCCCGCCCGCGATGGTACTGGTGGTATCTGGATTGCCGTTGCCAACACTCTCCCCAAGGAGAACACCCGCTACGGCCCCAACAACAAGGTCGTGAAGGTCAACGCCTACAACAAGACTGTCACCCTCGCCGACGGCACCACCATTGGTTACGGAAAGCTGGTCTCCACCATGGCCGTCGACTACCTCGCCGAGGCTATGAACGACACTGAGCTCATGCCCCTCACCAAGCAGCTCTTCTACTCCTCCACCCACGTTATCGGTGTTGGTATCCGTGGTGCCCGCCCCGACCGCATCGGCGACAAGTGCTGGCTGTACTTCCCCGAGAATGACTGCCCATTCTACCGTGCCACCATCTTCTCCAACTACTCCCCCCACAACCAGCCCGAGGCCTCCAAGAAGCTGCCCACCCTTCAGCTCGCTGACGGCTCCAAGCCTAAGAGCACCGAGGCTCAGGACGGTCCCTACTGGTCCGTCATGTTGGAGGTTTCCGAATCTTCCATGAAGCCCGTCAACAACGAGACCCTCCTTGCCGAGTCTATCCAGGGTCTCGTCAACACCCAGATGCTCCAGCCCGGTGATGAGATTGTCTCCACCTACCACCGCCGCTTCGACCACGGTTACCCCACCCCCACCCTGGAGCGTGAGGGTGCCCTCACCCAGATTCTCCCTAAGCTCCAGGAGAAGGGTATCTGGTCCCGTGGCCGCTTCGGTAGCTGGCGCTACGAGGTCGGCAACCAGGACCACTCCTTCATGCTCGGTGTCGAGGCTGTTGACAACATTGTCAACGGTGCCGTTGAGTTGACCCTCAACTACCCCGACTTTGTCAACGGTCGCCAGAACACCGAGCGTCGCTTAGTCGACGGTGCCCAGGCTTTCGCCAAGAAGTAGTAGATAATTCCCCCTTATTTCTTTTTAACTTATCCCACCATTCTTGTCTGAAGTGAAGGGTTCTCTTTTTTTTCCTCTCCTTTTTTTTGATGCAATTGAAACGAGCTCATACCGTCATGGAAAAATTATACACGTGAGAGCATTTGAAGCGGCATCTGGAAGACAATCGATCTTTGTTGGCGTTTCATTTTGTTACTTAACACCATCCAACCCTCTTCACCTTATCATCTACCTATTCCCTCTTCCATTAGCCGAGAGCCGGGACTTGCTTTTGATACACTTTATTAGACTGCCTTGATATGTGTGATTCTTCATTTTAAATTCATTCAGTTGACCGATGAACCTCGTCCTTTTCCAAGTAAAATGTATGTTGTACTGGCCTTTCTCAGAAAATAGAGGACAAGCACGTGATTTGTTTTACGTGACCCTTGCCACATCGCCGCCTCGGGCTGCTCGCCAGAAATTCTAAAACTCCAGTCAAGACATTCGAAGGACAACCTTGGAAATATTCAAACCAAGCAGATCTCACCCTATATAGACGGAGAGTTTTGTGGCATTTCCCATCCAACCTTGACACCCCACCAATATCATCGGCCCCCTCGAGTTACACTCGCCACATCGCAGATCACCTGGGCACCAACCAGACACTTACTAACCCACACACACCGCAAGAGCCTCTCTCTGTGAGCCATGTCCATCCAACGCCCCCTGAATTGCAGACCCCTGGATTCAACATGATCCAATCTACCGGCAAGCATCGTCTCAGCGCTATTAATCACACACGGAGATTTTCCGGAACAAGACATTCAAGGTTATTCTACGCGGTGGCGTAGTGGATCCGCAGAGAACGCCGGTCAAACGTGAACCAGTCCTATTGAGGATCGAACATGTACAGTCTAAACGGTATGCAATGCAAGCAAAAGAAAAAAAAGAAAAAGAAAAGTCCGAGTACTGCGTAAGCCGTGTAAGCAATGCAGAGTGACGTAGGCTGCGAATTCCAGTATCCTCACGGTGAGATGTGTCAATGGCAAAAAGGCACTGCCGGGGCCGCGTCAGATCTGGAGGCAGCCAGGTTTGTGGTTCTTCTCCACTGAACTATTGATAGATTTGGGTTGCCGATATCGTTGTTTCAGATATGAATTGTTTACTGACATTCTAGATCCCTTCTTCTGCATTTTAACGTGAGACATTATAGTCTGGACCAATGCTTCGAGGGGTTATTTTTAATCTTTCTTGTGGTATGTTGGTCTGGAACACACTTATGCGTGAGGTTGATTCAGTATCTCATATTGGGGATTAAATATTATTGCAGCCTTCCATTCCCCGGTTCGTCGATCATGGGGTCTTGGGGCGAGAAACATCATACCATAAATATACAAAAATAGAGTCGACTGGGTCAATACCTTTGAAAAGTCACTGGTATCAATAAATAAATAAAAAATACCCTCTACTGGGACAGCTCATGGTGGACTCGAAGAGGCCAAACCGCTAGAATAAAGCCACCAGTTTCAAGCGTCCGCGATGTCCTGATATCGCTTCTAGATGACGATTTTGTTGTGAGAGCCATGGTCCTCGCTAACGCTATTGGCCGCGCTAGCAGGCGAGACTGCCCCCTCGGCCAAGACTGCCTCGTAAGACATAGTGGACGCTAGGGTTAGGTCCCGGGGTGGGACACTTGCGGTGGCCGGACTTGACGACACACCACACGACAAGAATGAAACCTGCGGCGTCGAAGCTGGCGAGTCAATAGACATTGGTGTATATATAGCATCTGTGTGGCTTAGCCGGTGGTTTTCTCCGCGACGATCTGGATCTGGCGGGGGATTGGACTGTTAGATAGAGCCGATGTTTCGATTTTGGGAGTTTGACATACCTGTTTCTTCTTCAAGAGGGGCCTTGCCGCTATGGAGTTCAAGTTCCTGCGGTGAAAGAGCAAATTTCACCTTCAGTCGTGGTGGGTCAACGGACCGGTCTGCTTGCGAGTGTATTCCAGTGGAAATTGTCAATTGTAACGAGGACTGTTGGGCTGGGATTGGGGATTTGAGGCAGGACTTTGTCACGGTAGTGTGTGGAATTGGATCTGTAAAAGCATAGCTCCTGTCTTTTGGAGAAATAGGCTCAAAACACGGGGATCCTTCTTGACTCAGGCCTATTGTATCAAGGTCCACATCAGATTCGGAAGAGACACAAGAGCTGGGGGACAGATCCGTCATTTCATCACAGCTCTCGTCGTCTAGGTGCAACTGCTCGAATTCGACAGTCAGAGTATGACGGATATAGATCCGCTGAAGGTGAGATTCGATATCATTTTCCTCCAAGGCAATGATGGTTGGGGGCCGTCTGATCATGTTTTCAGGGATGGATTATTGTCAGTTGCACAGAGAGCCTTGGAGGTCCCGTATATAGAAACATCGTGTCTTAGAGGAAGTTGCGTATCTTCACAATTTAAGAAACCTCGACCAGGATATGTGAACTGATCCTTGGTGTCTATAAAAGAGTAAATTAGTAAATGCCATACATGTTATAAATGCCATAAAATCAGTCAATCCGTGCAATATAAATGGTGTAAATCTATGCAATCTATCCTGTCCACTAGAAACTGGACAAATCAGATATATCCATTGCATCTCACCACCCAAAAGGATTAAAATAACCTACATATATCCCTTTTCGTACTCTCTGAGTCTCTCTCTCTCTCTAATTATCTAGGAAAAATCCTGGAGGGAAATATTAATAGTCAAAGTCAAGGCTCAGCCCCTCGACACTAGACCCAATTTCTACGGAGCCTCCTGTTGATCCTTCCCCCCCCCTCTCTCCAACGTCGACTCTCCCTCAACACACATACCTCTCTCTTTCCCCCAACTCTTCCTCGGGCCATGCATTCGCTGCGTTACCGATAGCCTCTCTTTCGTTGACCTCTCGACCTTCCCTCCCCTTAACCCCTCCGGCACATATCCGGTCGCGGCCAAATAACAAAATCTCCGCCATGAACGGGGATCTCAGCCTGTCCCAGACTCTGGGAGGGCTTCGGATAGCCAATCCAGACGATTCGCCTCTTCCAACGGAGGATGCGACCGCTGGGTCAACAGGCTCCAGCCCGTTCGGACGGCCGGACGGTTCGGTATCAACACTACACAATCCCGCACATGACGAACACCCCTCTGTCTTTCCTCCTGCACCCATCGAAGTCCCCATGACAGATGATCGCCCGACTTCATTCCCTCAAGCCTCCCCCGAGATACCACCATTGCAATCAGGCACATACCAGGCGTACTCGGCTCCACCCCTCTCAACACCTCCGAATCCCAACCGACCCCTTTCCTCCGTATACTTGAATGGCTCAGCAACATCGATACTCCCCCGTGACAACACATATCGAATTCGAACTGATTCCGGTGCTTCATCCCAATCTGGGTCTCAGGCGCGGTTAGACACACGAGGAGGATCGTCGGCATTACATGCCGGTGTTCTGGCGCGCGACAACTCCCACAGCGACCGATCCTACCGGACCGCGCAGATCCCGGGCAACGGCCCGGCGGTGATGCGTCAATCGTCTCGAGCACAAGCAAGAAGTGGTGGCGCGTCTCAGATGCCGCGAACGTCTTATATGGCAGAAAACGGCCCAATGCCGAGTAGTGAGGATTGGCAAGACCGTGGCGCCGCGGTCTCTGTGAGACAGGAGGTCGACGCCAACGGCCAAACCGTCTCTCGTTATATCAAAAAGGGTGTTCGAGACTTTTCGTTTGGGAATACTCTCGGTGAAGGCTCCTACAGTACGGTCGTCTTTGCAACGGACCGACAGACTTTGAAGGAATACGCGATTAAGATCCTTGACAAACGACACATCATCAAGGAGAGAAAAGTTAAATACGTGAACATTGAGAAGGATACACTCAATCGACTGACCGACCACCCGGGTATTGTCCGGCTATATTACACCTTCCAGGATGAGCAGTCGCTATATTTTGTGCTAGACTTGTGCAAAGGAGGAGAATTGCTCGGTGTTCTCAAACGGATGACCACATTTGACGAAGAGTGTACAAGATTCTACAGCGCCCAGATTCTTGATACGATAGACTATATGCACAAGCGCGGCGTTATCCACCGAGACCTGAAGCCAGAAAATGTGTTACTTGACAGCGGGATGCATGTCAAGATCACTGATTTCGGGACAGCAAAGATTCTCAAGACTCCACGAGTTGATCCCAGTTCAAACGGCATTCTTCCTCTTGACTCGGCCGAGCTTACACAGGAAGAGCGGGCGAGCTCTTTTGTCGGCACTGCGGAGTATGTCAGCCCCGAGCTGCTGACCGACAAAAATGCATGCAAAGCTAGTGATCTTTGGGCTTTTGGTTGCATAATCTACCAGCTTTTGGCCGGTCGTCCACCGTTCAAGGCCGGAAACGAGTACCAGACTTTCCAGAAAATTGTGGCACTCGACTACGAGTTCCCGATTGGATTTCCGACTGTTGCGCGTGATCTTGTCGAACGTCTGCTCGTTCTAGAGCCTACTCGGCGTCTCCAGATCGAACACATCAAAAATCATGAATTCTTTGAAGGTATCACATGGGGCTCAGATCTATGGCAACAGAAGGCACCCCGCTTGAAGGCCTATGTACCCCCTGCACGCGACCCCATCAAGCTCAATGACAGTAAAAATGGGGAGAGTCCACCTCCAGTCGTCTCCACTGCCCCCATGAATGCACCAAATGCCAGTTCCCGCCACCTTCCACGGGTGGTAACCGAGCTACCCCCGCCGAGCCAGCTCGATATTGAATGGTCGCCAGTACTAAGCAAAACCAACGAGCGGATTTTGAAATTGGGTAATCTAGTTGTTCTGTCTTCTGCTGCCTCACACAGCCCAACGTCCAAGAACAGCAGTGGTGAATTCGAGGCACCCAGGAAGTTCTCTCGTTTCTTCTCAGGAAGCGCCACAAAGAAGCGACAGCGGTTGGTGATGGTCACATCATCCGGGCGGGTCATTCTGGCCGCGTCAGGGGGTGATGATAAGAAGATCAAGCTTGAGATTCCCCTGCTTGCTCCGGGGACAAGCTACAGAAGTACAACGGATTCTAAAGGAATTTCATCCTGGATTGTGGACACGGTATGTAGTTCATCCTTTTATCAGTCAAAGGGACCCATCTAATGAAACGCTACAGAGGGAGAAACATTACGTTTTCGAGGATCCCAAGCCCTCATCAAGCAACATCGGCGCCACAGCGGTCCAAGTACAAGAATGGCTCGACGCATTGGACAGGTCCCGAGAGATGGCATCACAGCAACCAAGCGCCGGCTTCTCCGACGATGCATTCCGCGACCTTTCCTCTGGTTTCCCTAGTCCCGCCAACACACTAGACCGCTCGTCTGACATGCAGAAAGATGATAGAGGCCCACCATCATCGGGTCGGAATCACCTAGTCAAACAGCAGACCGGTGACACTGAGTCAACGAAAGGAAGGAAACGATTCAGCAAACGTCATTCGAAGAATGGTCTTGCTGCGGTGTTTTAGTGACATCGAATATGAACTCCGGGTCGCAAGATCCATCTATACATCCGTGCTAAATTGCCTTTTGGAGTTGTTGGTATCAAGCCGACTTTCCTATACCACCTACTGCCTTACATCGCACCTCATCATCTCATCGTTTGAATACGGACTACCGTGTCCACCCGTCTCCCCAGCTCTCTCTTCTTTCATTTCTTTTCTATGCACGAGCATTCTTACAAAGATGGGATATAATCCCAGCATATCGGTTACCCTACCTCTTGCATATTCCAGTGACAAGCGTGTTCTTCTGTTTGTTTGTGTTCTTGGGGAAACATGTTTCTTGCATTTAGATTTGGAAGGGAGCGCATACTTTGTTCTTTCATTGCCTGACTGCCTATTTCAGAATACCGATTTCCTTCTTGTCGTTTGCTATGTCGTCCGCTGTTATATATCCCTGATTTGGCCTGAAGCATCACAACATCGAGACTTTTTCCGTTCGATTCTTTTTTATCTCTTTGTTCCTGGGGCCCTTTTTCCTGGTAAGTCATCAGGATTTATTGAGGTTGACTCGTGTTCATTATCCTTGAAAAATATGAAATCAAGGCCTATACGCCCGCGTCCTCCTTTTCATCCTCTTTCTCTTATACATCCTGATGTCTTTTAGGACAAATTCGGATAAAAGATTACTTTCTTTACTTTGGCATCATCATCTTTCTCATTGCGTCTATTGTCTTCCTCGACTTCATTGCTTCCTTACAGTGGCGTCTTGGTCTAACCTCATTTTCATTGGTTTCTTCTACTCACTTCATTCTTGGAATTCCATCACTTGCCTCTCACCTTGGTATACACTTTCGCCGCCTTTTTCTTTTTTCTTGCTCTTCTTCTGCCCTAGGCCCAGAAATGATATACCCGATTTTCCTATTCACAAATCATTATTCTACCGTCTGTCTCCCTACAATCCTTAGGTATTTTGAAATTTATAATGAAAGACTGCGTATCCCAAGCAAAGTGATCTTAGATAATATACTAATTGACAGATATATATAGGTAGGTAGATACAAGTAGACATTAGTCGTAAAAGGCGAGATACCCGTCCAGGGTGAAGATCCATATATATCTCTATTGTTTCCCCCAAAATTAAATGAACAACCAATCGAGGCGCGTATGATCCAGCTCCTCGATCCAGTCAAACTCAAGATCGTAATCATTATTATCATAGCCCTGCTCATCGGAAACATTCTGACGCTCACGGCGCTTGAGATCCTGTTTCTGCCACATGAGACGCAGAACCCATGCAGCATTGCGGACATTAACACTCGTCAGGGCCTCATAGAGCGAGGCGAGTTTTTCAAGAATAAGACCCCGCTGCGAAGGACGACATTCCACCCCAGCGATGAAGGTGGGCCAGATGAGGCATTTGAAATGGGGGTCTGAATTGGGTATGAGGCAGATTTGCGTTATGAGGTTCGTGGCGATGAGTCGGTGATCGAGCGGGAGACCGACGTCTGTCCAGGGGGTGAGAAGCCTTCCCTGGCGCGTGAGAGGACACGACTTGTGTAGAGGTAAACGGCGTCTTGGTAGGAGGTTGCGAGTGCGAGACGGTACGTTAAGTTCGGGACGAAGAAGACGTTTTGCATTTCTTGGCTCCAGGCTATCGGGTCGAAGTTGCGGATTCCCTGGAGCAGGCTTGCAAATGAGTCTAGGGTCAGGGGCTGGCCGGGTTGGATTGGGGTTGGCAGAGCTGTTGGTTGGGGTGTTATAGCGGCGACTTCGGAGTCTGGGTACCAGAGGGCGTGGATGAAGAAAATGACTTCTAGGAGATAGGCGGGACATCCGACCCAGGAATTTTCTTCGAGACGTTTGAGGATCTCTGGGCCCATGGATGAGGAGTAGAAGGGCTTCGATAGTGCGCCTGGGCGAGCTAGGGTTGATCCCATGATTTCCATTCTATATGGTCAGCTAGAACTTTTCGTTGTAAGCAGAGAACAGACTCGTACATTAAACACCCATCAAGGGCAAAAGCGTCCAGGTCGTCGAGAATTCCTTGTCCCGGACCATTTTCAGGTCGGTTTTTGAGAAGCTTCTTCGCGCCCTCAATATGGTAACTCCAGGCCCCACTGCCGGACTCAAATATGTCTAAGAAGGCAAGCAAGACGATGGCAGCTAAGGTCCTGCCGTCATGTTGCATCGTCGGGTCATGGAGATCCATAGACAATTGGCGAAGGGCGCGCTGTTTGTACCCCAAGAAATGATGGTATGCCTGCGAAGTGGGTTTTCGAGAACTTGCCGGCGCCACAATATCTGCAATCTCCTCTGGTGACATCGAGAAATTGCCCGATGACCATGGTTCGACAGATGAGTCAGATTCCGATACCAGGGAGAAATGAAGAGCCCCAAGAGCAGCGATGCTGCTAGCAAGAACAGGTGAATGATTGACTAGAGCGGTAAGATCTCGGAACGGATTTTTGTGTTGGGAGTAAAGGGCGAAGTCATTAACCATATATTGATTGTCTAGCAAGTAATTGTCAGCGGAGCCACAGATAATGCATTCGGGAAGTCTCACAGTGATGTATGTAGTACCTTGAGAACTGGCTGAGATCTTTGAGTAGTGGATCTACCAGTCCCCATGGGGTTGGAGTATAGCCGGCAGGATAAGTACTTCGAGGAACATGAACAACTGCGGTGTCCTGCTCCTCGGTTGAATTAACCCCCAACTGCGCAGTTTCTACCCCCAGTGTTGAATTCTCTTCGAAAACCCATCCATCCGTTTCCGGGCTAGGTTGATTCCCAGAGCTGTGCGATTCGGCATCGGATGAGGATTCAGCGATAGAGAAAAAGTTGAATCCGCTGCTCGCCGGAGTCGAATCATACGTCCCGGTAGCCGGCTGGCGCTTTGGCTTGCTAGGTGGTACTTCCACATCATCAAAGCTGCGGCCCATCATCTTTCCTCGACTAGCCACTCCACCCTTCACCCAAACAAGCGGTTTCTGGTACCCCAAACATTCTTTCCCCGCATCTCGACACTTCCGACAGGTGGGTTGGCCATTGTCGCATATGATGCGACGTCGTCGGCAGGTATAACAACCTTTGGTCATTCTCTGGGCGTTGTGAGAGAAACGTAGTTTCTTAACTGGATAGCGAATAACTGAGCCACTTGTGAAGTTTGTTCAGCGCCACTCGCCATCATCGGTTATGGTCAGGATTCGGAGGCAGGATGTTGACAAAGCCACACGACCATCTCTAGTCGTTTAATAAGTGACCCCGTCGAGAAATCTTATATAACCAAGTTGTAAACCCGACATGCTCCTCGTTCTCGGGATGATTCAGGAAAGCTTCGCTCGCGGGGCCGCGGGGAGGATGACTAATAAAGTCTTCCAATGATCGAGACCCCCAGGTTTGTCCAGGTTTCTTCTTTAACACTCGACTTGCATTTCCATATCAGCACTTGGAATCCCATGGTCGACTATTAGAAGAACTGCAAGATGGTTTTGCATCTCTTGCTCCGAAGTATGGAGGTCAGTGCTTTTGCGATTGCCGTTCGCCGTTTGCCACTCCGAGCTTCACTAACATTGTTCCTTCTCAGGTCTGGCTCACTGTTCGAGTACGTTGCTTCAACAATGATATGTTTGTGCCTGCGCTTGCATCCTAACATTATCTACACAGCTCCTTCGAAGTCCGATCTTCCATCGTATGGTGGGCCGAGTTCACCAGAAAGTTCAACATATTAGGTACGGGGTGCCTCCGGAGGAGCAGGGAGGCACCAAACTCGAGGGACAAGGTATGCTTCATACCAATATTTGTTGTAATATTGTGTCTGACCTGTTCTGGTTAGATTTCGAGTACAGGAAATTCCTTAGCCATTTCAAGGAAGAGCTGAAGGACCAGATGAAGGGAAACACACGGAACAAATTTTAATACCCTGGCGCTTGTTTGATAAGGAAACTGATGATACCCACATTGAATATGACACATAGTATATGCTTTTTCCCCCTTTCGCAATTCTGAACTATTGCTTCTTATCATCATTTTGGCGCTTATGTCGGCACTGGGTATACAGTGGGATGCACTATCACACTCCCTGGAATGCATCCCTTGTTTCATCCGGAGAGTGAACTTGATTTGAATCATTGACTTGCCCTTTCTACTATTCCCAGCTGTTTATACGGAGTATATACAGTCAGGCTGGGATTCAATAACTGGGGCATATATATTGAATTTCGATATTGTTCTCAAAGCAGAGAAGAAAACAGGGGGTAATCCCTGGAAGTTCTCTGTCTATTAAGTCAACCTATTCAGGTAGAAAAGTACCTCCCACATAGGTAAATGTCCACAGAGAATTTACTGAGTGACCCAAATGCGCAATGTGATGCTTCCAAAAAACATCCTCAGCTTGAAAGTATCTAGCTCAAGTTTTGAAATGTCATAAAATAGCACGCGGGCAGATACTGCAGTTGCAAATATTGATCTACCATTTCGCATTTGATATCAATTTCCTCTGAATTGTTGGGACCCCTCTAACTTTACATTGCTGCAGGACAAGAACCACAATGCAGATCATTAACCCGCAGAGTAACGAACAAAAAAGAGTACAATTGGTATTAGCTCTATCATTTCGAACCATCTTTACTAGTCTAACCTGACTCCCCAATACCAAAGCAAACCGATCATGGCGAAGCTGAATCCTTCCTCCGAGGAACCACATTCGATCGGGTTCTCATAACTCGCACCCGGACCATCTCAACCAAATCATACACTCTAATCTGAGTACGTTGGAGGACCGTTGCCCTGGCGGGCCTCCAAAAGATCTTTTGTGTATCCCGGGGACTGGTCCGCAGGAACATGACCTCGGCCACCTGCAACTTTCCGTTACTTGGGCTCTGACTCTGAGCCCCCTTCTCTTTCTTTTTGATGTTGGTGAAAGCAACAAACCTACGTCTACCCACGCGCTCGGTGTCTAGCCATTCCAGTTGGTTTTCGTTGCCGAAGAACGTCATGGAGAGCATCTTTCCAATGATATCCAAATAATCCTCGTTGTCGAATTCATAGGAGGGATCAGCATTGGAATTCGCGATGTTCTTGAGATTCCTGATTGCTGTATCAGACAGACTAGTTCACGTTAGTATTCGTTATAAACTTGGGTTGAATGCACATCATTTGGAATGGTACTTACTGGACGACAATATGTGTAAATTTTGAGACATCGTAGTACTTGAACTTCTTTTCACATTGAACCTCGAGGGCAGGAAGCGAGGTTGTGGTGACTTCGGGAGAAGGGCATGTTTCGGCCATGTTTTCTTTTTGTAAGGCTTGAGGTGGTGGAACTTGGTCGTCGAGGGGTTAATCGGGTAAACTGGGTGTGGAATAGACTCAAATCGCATATGTCAAATTTTGAATATGCTGGAGACGCTGGATGCTAAATGAGAAACGCTGAATATGCTGTAGATATATTGAATGGAACTTAGTAGCATGAAAGTTGCATGCAAGGTTGCTGAAGTTAAGTTGAAATGCTGAACAGGAGGATCAATATATTTATTCTCAGAGCTGTTGAGAAGCAAAATGGAAGAACAAAGGACATGATACTCTATTCCCGGGAAAATGAAATAAAGAAGCCATTGGCCTTAAAACAAACAAAATCCCTTATTTCATACCTCATTGAATGGCTCTTATGGAAGATCTACCCTCTATCGTCTTCTACGAGGAATCAAAGCTTCCACTTGTTTTGGTCACAAAGCAAGATCCAAATATAAGGTCTCTGCTCAACTCTCTATTTATACAGTTCTACAAGAGATATTCTAGAAGTAGATGCTCTGCTTCCATTGTGTTAACCCCTTTGTTGTCGATATTTCAAAATAGAAACATTAGACAGCTTCTTATCGGCCGCGCCTGCTCTTTATATCCCAACAGAAGGAACTGCCTTGCATCTGAAATGTTTGATAGGTCCCAGCTATAACGAATTGGCGGTGGCTTTTCTACTCTCGCAGAGGTAATATTAGATATCCGAACAATCTCGAGATTTCCAAGTGCCCTTGCCAAATGCCGAATCATTATCTCACTAACTCAATACATAGTTAAAGTCATACTCTATTGTACTATTAACATTAGAGCTACATAGAGTGTGGACAAGACCTGGGCGGATATGACGGATATCAGGGAAGCGAGGTAGATTGCTCCGGTTGCTCCGTGAAATAAGGGAAGGATTCATCTCGTAGGTATCAGTAGTCTTAAATGGTAATGCTTAATACTTCATTAAACTTATTTTACTATACTCTGTACATTCCCCTCACATCTATGCAGTAGATGCATAGCGTTGAGATTGACCGGTCCATTAATGCCTGTCAGAGTGGGGATCAGAACAAAGCCGCTCATATGCTAGGATAGTTTCCAGGAGAGGTGCAATTTTATTCCTATAAAATAAACAGCGAAGGGAAAGATTAAAGGAGAAAGGTATCGAGGAGATATCTATATCGAATCTTCTCAAAGTCTTCCCAAAAGTCTTCTCGACCTGAACAACAGGTACAACATAAGCAGACCCCAAGGATCCAGAAGAGCCGGGAGCCCCGAAATGCAGGCTGTCAGCGGCACGCCACATGGACCAATTGGGGCTAGGGTGGAAGGAATCCAAATTTTAGGTCAACTTCGGCTGTGTCGGCTTTTTTATGAAACTAGGAGTCAAAAGGGGGGCGTCCAGGTACCCGAAGGATTAGTGCTACATGACAAAACACAGAAATCCCAGCAGACCAGATATTTTGTAGGAAGATGTCAACCATTCATTAGGCGACTTGTGGTAACAGCTGGGTAGTATTTATGCAAGATGTCATACGGCGGCTTTATACCCATGCCAATAACATAGAAGATCAGAGGCAGATCATGGGAGATGTGCTAAATATGGAGCCAGAAGCGAGGGGTACGTCGTCACACATGTTCAGCCCACATGTTCAGAGTTTTCCCTCTCTCTTTATCCCCAGGGTTATATAGGTATGTAGGCCATTAACTCACACATTAACTGGCTGTATTCTGCATAAGGCGTCCCATCCTACTCCGTCTCTCCCATTCTATTCAATTTAATCATTTACAACATTTAAAAAACCTCAAACTTAAATCTAAAATAAAACACTTGTAAGCCCAATTGGGTCAAACGCCCAGGCGACCCAGTCATAACGTGTTTTCTATTGAACCACCAGCCAATCAGAGCTGCAGATGCTTCGGCGCGTGGATATAATCTGAGACTAGTGGGTCCTAATTAGGACTAGTGCCTTCCAAAGTTCGGGACAAACAACACTGCCCAAGGTTCGCCATTTCGCTTTGACTCCTTTTTCATTTTCCTTGCTTACTCTTCTTTATCACATCTCTTGACTTCGGGTCAAATTCTTTCGTTATTATTGTACTCAACGTTCGTTATCCCAACCATGCGTCTATCCAGTCTATCGCTCTTCATCCAGGCTCTGCTGTTGACTGCGGTCGCAGCCCAGAGTGCTGGTGTCTCCAACATCGTATCGGATGTCACATCTCAGACCACCTCGTCCTCTACTTCCGAAGCGCCTGAAACCACATCGACGACTTCATCATCCTCCTCCACAACCTCTGAAGAGACTTCTACGGAACCAACTACTACATCCGAGCCTACTACCACCTCGACTTCTTCCACCACCGAACCTACCACCACCGATTCTACCACCGAGCCTACCACCTCAGCAGAGCCCTCTTCTACTTCGGAGCCCACTGTCGCTGCAACCACTTCCAACACTGAGCCCACCTCCGCAACAAGTGCCGGTAGCGATAGCACCACTTCGTCCCAGAGCACCACCACGACCCAGGCCCCAGTCACGAAGACCATCACCTCATACGCGACCAGCGATGGATCCACCATCGCCAACGTGATTACCACCACCTCCACCCCCGTTGCCGGAACTAGCTCCCCTTCTCTTAACGGCGACAAGAGCTCCGGCTCTAGCGGTGTGTCTTCTTCGGACAAGAAGATCATCATCGGTGTCGTGGTGGGTGTCGGCGGTGCCATCATTATCGGTGCTCTGGGCTTGGTTTTCTGGAGAATTCAGAAGAAGCGCAACGAGCAATACGGCGATGAGGACGATCTGATGGGCGGCACTGCTGTGGGCTCCGGTCCCCGCGAGAAGGCCCCCAGCCCATCTGGCAACACCCCCTTCAAGAACACACTAGACCAGTATCACAACCCTGGTCCTGTCAACGCGGCATCGAACTTCTAAGCGTACTGCGTTGACTCGACACTCGTCGAAGTGTAAATCTTGTACGATCTTCATGCTTTTCTCGGGCGCTATGGACAGGGTATGCGAGCTCACGGTTGCGTTTTTCTTCGGTTGCAAAATTGCTTTTTCTCATTTCGGGCGTTTTCACACCCTCTCCGTTCATTATAGATTGAATACCTGTGCATTCATTTGAGCGTTTTTTTCCCTTCGGCAACCACCACATTCCTTTTCTTTTTTCGTGATCGCGACTCTCGATCCCTGCGCGACTGACAAAAATTGCGGCACTACCTCCCTGTTATACCTGTTATCTATCTTTGATTCCCCGTATCTAAGCGCTTCGTGTTCCCCTGTGGCGAACTCCATTGTGCCTTGACCAATATTCTATTCTTTTACCTTTTGCAGCATCAGACGTCACAGATTGTATAGTGTTGATAGATGCGTGCTGCAAAGGTACCTTTTATCTTTGATCTGTTCTGATCTGTATGTATGTAATTCAAGGCAAATGAATCCAATCAGCAAAACAATCCACCGTGTCCAAACGTTATATCCTAGCAAACTATGATACATCCATCGACCTAGACTAAGATCGACATCCGATCTCGATCCGTATCCACACGTGGTATATTCCAGCCCTTAGAGATGGAAATGTATAGTGTTTTTAATCAATTTGATTCTTGGCATAGATTTTGCATAGATCTTTTAGATGATATGGCTTTGTTCTAGGCCTGCACCGGGCTCATTTCACAATAATATATAGGTTTATAAAATGGTCTAGGGAATATCGAATATACTTCATCCACTAAGAGCTATGTCACTTTCTCTTGTATATTCTTTCGCTTCGCTTAAGCTATAAGTTCACATTACATCATGAATTACCAACGGCGAGTTCCCATACTTATACCACGGAGTGCAGTTCATTTGGGTGTCCCATGGCTGACATGATTTAGTGGATTAGATCCTGGTACAAACTAATACTTGATTATCTGACTAGAGTCAGACTTCAAGTGACTGAATACTTCCAAGGGACTTGTATGATAGAGGCCTATAATACTATACAGATCAGATATTATTAGAGAGAAACCAGAAGATGCCATTGAGATGGAAAGGGGAGATGGGTGTATGCCATCATAATTAGCCTCACAACAAGTGCAGATTGAGTCTATTTGTGTTGACTGGGCACCAATCACAAACGTTTACATGGTTACTAGTATCACCAGTAACAGCATATATCGCTGTATTGATGAGAACTGTATGGAGGTCGAAGTCAAAGCAGTCTGCATGTCGACACTTAATGTAGAATGCGTAGAGGACCTTAGCACCCATGTCACAGAAGGCAGCCTCTTTAGTATGGACGGAACCAGATCCCATTGACGTATCAGGAGGATCACTACCAATTAGAGGCAATTTACATCTAGCTCATTAGTCCCATCAACTACGGAAGGGCTTGGATTAAGAGCCAAAATCAGTGGGGGCTTCCTATTTAGTGTGGTCATCGACTATCTACATCATATGAACGTGTATCCGGATCATCCAGGCCCATTCTGTAGATAGCATGATTCGACCCCTATGGAGTTTATACACTGTACAACTTCTCTCCCGCAATCAGCCCTGTCATGAGGTGCTTCCAAAGTTTATTGGGGGCCTAGAGAGAGCGCCAAGAGACCAGCGCCTCAGCTGCCAAGTAATTTGCCAAAACCGCAATATGAGATGGCCTCTTATAATCATCGCCCCCAACTAGCCAAGCGAACAAATTATAAGTTGGAGCCCCTAAGAAGAAACGCCCCCAATCAGCCAAGCATGTATAAAGTAAACCACCACAAATGATGTCACCGAGGTGCCTAACTGAAATGTGAACTTATGTTCGCTTGGAAGGGCATAAATTACAAGTTGATATGAAGAAGGCATATAATGAAGCCCCCATAACTGGTGTGGGATGCAGAAGTTTCTCTAACACCATACTGGTTCCCTAATGTAAAATCATATCCAGCTCACTTTTATACAACAAAAACAATGATCCAACTCAAACCATCCACACTCGCCCTTGCCCTTTCTCTATTCATTTCCTCCACCCTAGCAGAGGATGGTGAACTCTCCTCCAGCCTTGTAGGCTGCAACGAGGTCTCATGTCCCAAAGAAGGTTCCAATGACCGCTGCACAGTGGGAGGCAACACCTTCCTTGGGATCGGACTATCCCGCATACCCGACGTTCCCCCGCCCCTTGAGGGGTTCTCTCTCATAAAAGGTGTAAATGTGTCTGCTGCACTAGCTGGGAAAGACAATGACAAGGCCACACGCCCTTTCAAGTCATTCTACTACCTTGGTACACCCTCGGACATAGAGACCAAGGACTTGTCCGGGTGTGTTGTCGTCTTTCACAATGCCCCGTCCAAGAAATTCAACGGGTCAGAACTAGAGGGCAATTCCAATGGAACTGATGTCCGCGCTGCGAGCGGTACCTGTTCCGATGTCATTGACAAGATATGCATCGAAAAACTTACGGAGAAGGCAACGAAATTAGCCAAAGAGACTGATGGGGATGTCTGCACGACGCTTGACCAAGAATTGAAGAAGACTTCTCTCGATGAGTGCAATGGGTTTGCAGGTAAAGGTAGCAGCCTTGGGAATTTCACCGTTAAGTCGCTCGATGGTCTCAATGCGGTTAAGAATTCCTCAGGCTGTTGGCCTATTCAGCCCAAGTCTGATCAGTTGGTGGAGATTGCGAGTGCCACTACTCTGGTAAGTGGACATTCATTCATGTCTAGCATACGCATTTGTTAATGTATACTCCGTAGAAAGACTACTCGGCACAGGCTCTCCTTGACGAGGCCTATAAGATTACACCAGTTCTCACTGTGTTCGCTAGGAAGGACAACATCAGTCTTGTCAACCAAACCGCTTCTCAGTTGACATGTTTGAAAGTTGTTACTGAAGATGATCCCAGTGATGACGAAAATGGGAGTGAAAATACTGCAGTGGCTATTAGGGCAAGCGGGTTTTCTGCTGGAATTGCGGTACTAGCTGGAATCTTTGCATTACTGTAGATATTATATTGGATGGACTGTTTAGGATAGGCAAATTGGAAAGTGCACTTAGTGATGTTACAATTGAATATCGGAATATCAGTATGTATCTAGATAAGACCATGATACTATACTACCAGTACTCCGTACCACTTACAATGCAAGGGGGTAGAACGCGCTAAATTAGCGCGACTGTCTCATCAGGGACGTTATCTCTCCATCAGACATCTACAGAGTAAGAACTACCTTATTCACTCTTAATACAACATACACATATACATCATAGCCCTGAAAGAACCTTGGAAATCACCAAACTAAGCCCCAAACCCCAACCCCAACCCCAAGACTGACGCAACCGACTTCCGCATCCGAACCACGGATACGCCAAACCCAACTCTATCAACTCCATAACCTAACCCATCCACACACTCACAATGTTCGCAACACAATCCCCCCAAACTCCTTTCCGCAAAACCCACTACTCCCCAACACGTCCCTCCCCACTGAGCAAACACACCACGACTCCACCCCTATGGAACATGTCCCCAACGCGTAGCATACAAAGCGCGTCGCAAAGCACGGCACCAAATCCATTCAGTCACCCGCCACCAATCTTCAACATTCAAACCGAACCAATCGCCCGACACACAAACAACCACCATTCCCCGATCCCGATGCAATTCAACGCGTCCGCCTCGGCATCAACAACCCCAACCTCCTCAAATCCCTTCTTCATCCAGCCACAAACACCCGCCTCGCCCTCCTCACCAACCCGCCAAAAGCCAAAATACGAAGCGCGCTACGCTTCCACGATCGCGAACCCGCTCCAGGGTGCGGTGGGTCTAGCGCGCTCGAAAACGCGTAAGATGTTTCTTAATCGCGTACGTCATGAGCGTGATGATGGACGATTTGAGGCGCGCGGTGAGCAGATGATGCGGATGGAGCATCTTGCTGATCGGAGGCGGTGGGAGGAGAGTATGGCACGGGACGGGGAAGGGGTTGTTGGAGGGTTTGAGGGGGATGAGGATGATATGCTTCCTGGTATGTTGGTTTTTTTCCAAATTCCTTTGGGATAGGTTATGGATATGTGTGTGCATTGCTAACTTTGGGGTTTGGTAGATGATGCCGATCTGCTTGATGAGTTTATATCTCAGGAGGAGGCTATGGAGATGGCTCTTAGGGAGACGCATAGTGGAGTTCCTGCCAGGGTTGGAGATTTACGGTCTAATGGGCCTGATATGCTCTTCAGTGATGATGAGTATGATGATATATTCATGGGACTGCCAGAGCCTTCGGTGAATCAGTGTGAGTCTCAGTCTCAGGATATGGATATGTCGTGAGCAGGCTAGGCCCACAGGTTGGGTGTTGGTTTTTTTTCTTCTGTTTTTTTGCGAGGCATTGCATAGGGTTGGCGTTTTTGATTCCATTTGGGTTGCGCGAGATGGGAATCCGGATATATACATCAAGTAAATAAGGGTATATGGACACGGGTTGCGCATATGTACAATACAGAGACGGACGGTGTATGAGTGATAAAAGAAAAAAGCAAGCCTCGGCATGAAGGCGATTTCTTCCTTTCAAACTTCAATCATACAATTTCAGGATCATATTACTGCTGCGGGCAATCGGGCACTCCGGCAGCACCAGCCGCAGCACCTCCGAAGTCTTCCATGAGGGGATTCGAAACGAGTTCCTCAGGCGGGCTTCCAGCCGCTTGCATCTGGAGACATAGTCAGTAAACGAAGCTCAAAACAAGATCTGTCGATCCAAATGTTGAAGAAACAACTTACCTCCTGCATCCTCTCCCACACATACTCTCGACACTTGGGATCATCATCCGAGAATCCCTTCTCCTCGAACTTCACCACAATCTGCTTGACAACCCGTGCCTGAGTCTCAAACCTCTCCATATCCTCAGCCGAAACCTTGCCAGTGCCCTTATTCTTCTCAATCCACGGACCGAACTTGACATCCAACTCCTTCATCGGCTCATACAGCATCTCCTTATTTGACAGCTGCTCCATCATGCCCATGAACATCTTCGACAGATCTCCATCTTCACCAGCACCAGATGCCCCCGCCTCAACGGCCTTGAGCAGCTGCGCCAGCATATCCTCCGAGATATCATCTTCGTTACTTGCTGCTGCGGTAGCTTTATCACCACTTTCTTTCATGCGACCCATCGTGCGCTTGATGGCGTCGTTAAACGAGTCGGCCGGTTGCTCTGCGCCTGCAGCTGGCGTACTAGAGGAACCCTGAGTGCTAGGAGCCGAGATGCCAGCCGCGGCCGCGGCTGCAGCAAGATTCTCTGCTGAAGCTCCGGATCCAGAACCGCCCTCCTCGGCCATCACGTCGGCGAGTAGCTGTTTGAGGAAATCGCCTGGGGGGATCCCGCTCTCTTCGAGCTGTTTTGCGAATACATCGGCGCCTTGGTCGACCGTTGCTTGGAAATTGGGATCTGAGCTGCTACTGGCGCCCCCGCCTGGTCCCATCATGTTTGCCATGTCTTGTTCAAGTTGCTTGAGGAAGGCATCTTCGTCGAAGTCTGGGGGTGCAACTCCAGTTGAGGGATCCGGGTTTGTGGTGGTGGAAGGTGCGGGAGGGGCGGGTTTGGGTTTGTTGAAGTCGTCGAGGACATCTGTGGGTGTGAGTGTGAATCATTCCGCGTGGAGGGGTGTGAGGGGGAGGGGGAGGGGTAAGGAGGAGAGGCGGGTATGTATTACCATCTAGCTCATCGAAGTCAGAGTCTTCGTCGTCATCATCTGCAGCTGCTTTCTGTGACTGTGCTGGCGCTGGTTCTGGCGCAGGGTCGGTGTTTGGCGGCTGAGATTCCTGTGTAGTTGGTGCGGTCACGGTGGGAGCCTCTTCGTGGCGCTCCTCGGTAGGCAAGGGGGTAGCCATATTATTGCGCGACGAGAATAAGCAAGTCTGGTCCTCAATTGAAAATACTGCCCGGTCGGGATGAAGCTTAATTTTTTCGAGGTAAAAAGAAAGTCTGGAGATGAGGTTGACATGTGACGAGTGTTTTGGCGGGGGAAATGCCGATCGCCGAGGGTTTACATTTTTGCCTAGGTCTAGGTGGTAACTACTACTAGTAGTTACTATAATATGTGTAGGAACTATATTGTATAATAATTTATAGAAATGAAGATAAAATGAAGATATTCAAATATTGAATATATCCAAAGTAAAAAGTCAATAACCCTGGAGGTTATGCAAATTCGCCCCCACGGGCACGGTGTCTAAATCGAGATTGAGTTGGCTGATGCACTCATGCAAGGAGTACAAAAGTACCGACATCTCCTGATGAGATCCGGCAACTCCAAATACATATAAGAATCTAGCTCCAAATCGTTCACCGGCAAACAACTTACTCCAACACCCAAAATGAGATCATAAGTCCAGACCAGGTGAAGTGTGATCAGGGAATTCTTGGCATACCGCCCCCCCGCATAATCTCGACCAGGTTGTTCCATGTGAAAAATCTGAATCTGCAATGCATTCCTTGTAAAGTCCGGGGAAGGGGCGTCATCCCACGATGATCCTTGGTGTCTCCGAGGGGGCCGTCGAGAGTGGCGCGTGATTCGCTTCTAGGTGCCCCAATGGGTCAGGGCTATGGGGTCATGTGGTATCAGAATAGGGCGGAGGGCGCCGAATATCCAATTATGGTCAATGCCTGTAGGTCCTAGTAGGGTCCATCTGGGCGAAAATGGGATGATCTGTTAGGTGTCCGGTATCGGCTAGGCTTTGCGCATGACATCTTCTTCTCCGCGGACAAGTTTTCAGCTTTGCATTTTTGCATTGAGGAAGTTGAAAGAAACAAGATACAAGTTACTTGAAGTTGTATATGGTACTATATAGTCTCTCAACCATTCTAACATTAAAGGTTATAACATTGAACATTACTAGCTCTGAAACAGACCACCCCACACGTCCTTTGTGGATTCTCAAAAAGGATAAGACCATTCAACTTAAACGTGGAACCCGAAGAAGCAGTAAACCCAAACAAGTTAGAAAAATCAAAAGAAGAAAGAGAGAGAAAAAAAATAAAAAAAGTCAAAAGAGTTCAAGCTGGGCAGGTACGCGAGCCCCTCCTGACCGGGCAGACTTTTCCCAAGGTTTTTTTTTTTTTTTTTTTAGTCAATAGCTTTACACGTATTTTTTTCTTTCTCTTTTATCTCAATTCCTCTGACTCTTTCTTTCTCATAATTCGCTTTTCTTTTATGTCACAACTTGAACTCCCTCGATCTCGCACGTCCCTTCCGACTTAGCCGCGCGCGTGTGTCTTCTATCTCCTTTTATCCTTTTTATCCTTTTTTCCTTTTTTTTTCTTTTTTTTTCGCTCTCTTTTTCTGCCGGCCAGCAGGTCCGGCAACGCGGGGAAAACTGGCTGTGTCTGTTCCGTGTGCGGAGGGCCGCCTACAGGCTTGAATTTATTGGATTAGATTATATAATGGTCTCGATGGTTGACCATACTGATATGGCTATGGATTCAATCGTGCCTAAGCATGAACCTGGTCCTGATGGTTCCATCAGTTCCACCGTGTCAACACCAGATCCAGAAGCCGAGCCCTTGACTCAGGATGCCGCCCAGACTCAGAAGAGGAAAGGAGGCAGGAAACCTGTACGTAACATCTTTTCAAATCTGGGGCCCCGCAATTCCTTTGTGTCACTTGTCCTATGTCGTTATCTTTCCCAAGGTTGCATTGTATACTAATCCGGTCAGATATATGCCACCTCCGAAGAACGAAAGCAGCGCAACCGGCAGGCCCAGGCGGCCTTCCGAGAACGCAGGACGGAGTACATCCGCCAGCTAGAGACCACCATCAAGCGCAATGAGGAATCTCTACAGAGTCTGCAGCAGAGTCATCGCAGCGCCGCCGATGAATGTCTAATGTTGCGATATAAGAACTCCCTGCTGGAGCGAATTCTCCTTGAAAAAGGTAAGGTTCTTCCTTACCCGAACCCCTGGTCCAAACCTCAACTAATCCCCAACCCCCATCAGGCATCGATGTACAGGCCGAACTACGCTTGAAAACAGGGGCGCCGGGCGCTCCTCCCAAGGCAAACCCTATGCCCCCAAAATCAGCGCCTAGCGCGGTAGGCGCCCGCTCGAACCGACACCCCGCAGGCATCGCCTCGAAGCCCGAGACGTTCGGTATGTCGCAGCGGGAAGGTGCATATGGCATTCCGTCGCCGCAGTTCCAAGCAACCCCAACCTCCCACGTTTCCTCACCCTCACACGCCAAATCCCCCGGCTTCGGCTTCCAGGGCGCCATGTCACCTGTGGAGGGCGGAAGGCCCCAGCTCCTCCCCCAACCTCGAACCTTCAGTCAGACGTCGCCGCCGGCAATCAGCATGCCGCAGACCGAGCCGTCAGATTCCAAACCCCAATCCCGTGGTACGGGAGCTATGGGTCCTCGCGGTGCGCGGGTCGCAGCGGCTGCTTACTATCCCTCTCCATTCCAGAAACACTACGACCAACTCGGTAAGCGTCTCTTTGACTTTTTTTTCATATGTTCTTCCCCAGCTGACCTCTCAAGCAGAACAAGAGTACGATGCCCAGGCCGATATGGTCGACGAAGACCACGACGGCTCAGGATCATTTGTCCCTGGATTCACCCCACAATCCGTTGCCTCGGGATCCCATAATATGTCCGGTTTCAACCAACCACCAGGCGAGGGCACGCCCAGTGATTTCGGTAATGCAAATCAGCTGCTTGGCCAATACGAGCCGATGCTGGATACAGATCCATTCGGGTTAAGCGCTAGCATGCACTTCCCCACGCCCTTCAATTACGAGCACAACAACTCGAGGCAATGAACGGCTGTCTAAAATTTGTCCACTGCATCTTTTTTTTCTTTCTCCTTTTCTCTTGTTTTATATTCATATATCTGTCCATCTTATGTGGCAAATGGTCATCTCTCCCTAAAAGTTTGATTTGAGCATTCCCCGGCGTTGCGAGGGTTTTGATACCAATGTTCTCTTCTGGTTTTCTTCAGAGGTATATTATATTACATTTTGTATATGAATCGGATCTTCACATCTTCTCATCATGAACTATTAGCAAAATTAACCTGCATCAGCATATTTTTGATCTGCTAAACCCAAAATTCCACCCCTAGAATCAATGATACTATACTTATACCCCCTCGCCCTCTAACCCCAGAAACTGACTCAACATCTCCGCTTTTCACACGCGCGGTACAGTGAAGGCTCTATACTCATCTACCAGTACGTGGAAGGTATTATCTTGGCAGAGGGCATTGGTTGCGTTCCGGGTTGATTTCCTATCGGTTGAGATTGTCGTTATTGTTATGACTATGTATACTGCAAATAATTGCTAGGGTTGTTAGTTTTATTGGAGTTTGTGTTTATTCTCCAAAGAACAGAAGACGAGGGCCTCTGCTAACGCCGGTCTTGTTATTCCTTTCCAATATAGCACCGCAACACGACACACTGCACAAATTTCTAGTGATGGGGACCGCATCGCACCTGGTTGCATGTCACCAAAAGTTCCCATAAAACGAACGTGGGACCTTCCAAGGTTACAGTTGCGACAGCTGCCTCTTGGTTTGCCATGCACTCTGCGCTTGTAGGAGGAGTATTTGCCCAAGTCCGGTTGGCAAAGCGTCATTCTCATGCTTGCATTAGATACTACATACATTGCAAAATATACGACATTGAAGAACGGAACAATTCGTACCCAGGTTGTTTATGCTGTTGGAGTGCTTAACTCCGAAATCCGACGTGGGGATTTTATTGGTTTGGAGTTTGGAGATAACCCGATTGTATTTCACCTCGGACATTATTCAATAACTCTGCTATTTATAAGCGAGGGAGAATGACAGCAAGCATGGGGTTTAAAACTATGGAGTTAAGCAAAGCGTTATGTCCGGGTTGTACAGGGTTGTTTAGTTCCTCGATGAACTCGATCTATAAAGGGTTCGCGGCCTTGCTTTCTGTGCAACTTTCGCCGTATTCAATTGCATTTCTTCAACAAAGTTTTATATGTGTTTGAGAATCCCTAAATTCCTAGGCCTCCACCTTTTATACTTCACGCTTCATAAACCTTCCTCCCTACAACCATTCTCATAATGCACGTCTTCGTGACGGGAGCCACCGGCTTCATCGGCCGAGCAGTCGTTGACGAGCTCATAGCTGCCGGCCATACAGTAACTGGCCTCGCCCGCTCTGACGAAGCCGCCGCCTCCCTAACAGCAAAAGGTGTCAAAGTACTGCGTGGTTCCTTCCGAGACCTCGAGGTCGTCAAACAAGGAGCCAGCGAGGCTGACGGCGTGATCAACCTTGCATTTGATCACGACTTCAGCAAGTATGCGCAGAACTGCCTTGACGAGAAAAATACCATCGAAGCTATAGGCTCAGTTCTGATTGGAACCAACAAGCCTCTGGTCACCACCACTGGCACATTAGGGCTTGTCTTCGGGCTCACCAAGGGCGACATCAGTGCTGAAGACGATATTATTGATTTCGAACATGCGACGAGCATACGCGCTCGGAATGAGAAGGTCGTTTGCGACCTCGCTGAGAAAAACGTGCGTGGTTGTGTCATCCGTCTGCCGCCTACGGTACATGGCGACGAGGACCGCGCGTTCATCGATAGGCTCGCTGCTTTGGCCCAGTCGCAGGGCAATGCCATTTACATCGATGAGGGATTAAACCGCTGGCCTGCTGTTCATCGTCTTGACGCTGCTCGGCTCTACCGACTTGCCCTAGAGAAAGGTGTTGCTTCCAGCAAGTACCATGCTGTGGGCGAGGAGGGTGTCGCCATGAAGGATATTGCTGAAGCTATCGGTCAAAATCTAGGTCTTCCTGCTGCATCTAAGACTCTCGATGAAGTGGGGAGCCTTGACAGCTTCGTTTCTTATGTTATGAGCATAGATAACCCTACTTCAAGCAAGAAGACCCAGGAACTCCTTGGCTGGAAGCCAGTTGGTCGGAAGCTTTTGGATGATATCAAGGCCGGAGTTTATGCCCAAAAGTGAGGAGGTAGTTTATAGTTTGTGAGCTCTTGGGAGATTGTGTTCAGAAACACCATATACTACTTTGGGGACAAGGGAAGGAAGGGTTGGGCATATATTAACACCGGAATGCATACCCAAGGGATAAATAATAACCAATGCGATTGCTAGCCAGACGATCTAACAATCCCCACTCAGATGGCAACCTAAATCCTAACTTATCCATCATATTTGTGCTATGGATAGCTCCATGATTACATAGCTTCTGCAAGGCCGGGATAGAGCACGCAGATGTAGTCCACAGTCAGATCGACATACTCCACCGGGATATGTCGGTTCTGTGTAAGCTAACACATGGACCACCGTATATAGAGATATCCATATAGGGTCATATATAAAAAAAAGGGTGGATATAATATGTCCAACAGCGAATAAACCCAGTGATGATGAGAAAACTATACTCCCCAGAGCAGTCCTTGACGTAATGATTACGTAAGGTACCCTAAGCCCTAGACTGCGGGCAGCCAATCAACGAGCGCGGACATCTTCGCTTAGGAGCAGAAGCCGCCTTTCCTGATTAGTCACCTTACACCCTGCAACCACAAACCGTGGACCTCTCTTCACCCTGCTCATTCATCATCATCAATCTTGACAGGCCGGATTCCCTTGGGTTCTGCCTTGTGCACCGTTAACTCCTCTAGACCGATTGTCTAAAGTTGAGCGCCTCCCTCCGGAAGGTCTCCGAAACACAACAGGCGTCATGGCGGAGTCCGTCCGGTCCAAGGTACGCTGAATTGGAGCTCTCCTGCGCGCTGCTAGCGACGCAATGTGAAATGAAATCGCGATCTGGAAGCGATTTGGAGGATTCGAGGAATTTTTTTTTAATGTTCAATAACTAATTTGAATTGTTTGATTTCATATAGAACCTCTACGAGCTTCTGGGTAAATTTCCCCTCCCTTGAATCCAATCATCGGCTATCTTTTCCGACAACGAAGAGCTCTTTCTATTTAGAAAGAAGCTAAAGCTCCATTCGCACCCGTTCCTTCGGTCCATTGATCGCTAACGTTACCTCTCATCAGGTAACGACCCAGAGCTCGACCCCAGCAGACCCGCTCCTCCCCCCACCAAGGCTATCGACCGCCCCGTTGACCGCTCCGGAAAGCGTGATGCCCCCAAGGAGCAGCCTGCCCGTCACACTGAGGCCAACGCCCGCCGTGGTGGCCGTGTGACCGGTGGCAACGAGGCCGGTATGTGGTTATAAGAAATCGGTTTTTTTTTGACGGAAGAACCGGACTAATAATTGGACAGCTTACCGTGACCGCAACGCTGGCCGTAACAACAACCGTGAGAAGCCCACTGACGAGGCTGCTCAGCCCGCCCGCCGTGGTGGCCGTGGCAACCGCGGTGACCGCCAGTCCCGCACTGGCCAGACGTAAGCGATCCGATCCCTCGAATGAACGAATAAACCCGAAGCAAAATCATGAACACCATGAGACTTTTTGCTGGGGAATATACAGAAACGAATGAACGAAACTAACGTGAACTTCGATGATACAGCGACACCCGCAAGCAGGTCCAACAGGGCTGGGGTGCCGAGAACGGCGAGAAGACCTTGGACGATGAGCGCCAGGGCGAGAAGATCGCCAAGAAGGAGGAGAACGAGCCCCAGACTCCCGTCGAGGCCGAGGAGCAGGAGGAGCCCGACAACTCCAAGTCCTTCGCCGACTACCTTGCCGAGAAGGCCCAGCGCGAGACCTTCGCCGCCAAGCCCGAGCGCACCGCCAACGAGGGCGCCAAGCTCGACAAGAAGTGGGCTGCCGCCAAGGCGCTCTCCAAGGAGGAGGAACCCTCCTACATCCAGCCCTCCCAGGAGAAGGCCAAGCGCGAGAAGCAGCGCAAGGAGAAGAACTTCCTTGACGTTGACCTCCGCTACGTCGAGCCTCCCCGCAGCGGCCCCGCTCCCCGCGGCCGTGGCGACCGTGCTCCCCGTGGTGACCGCCCCGCCCGTGGTGGTGAGCGCAGCGAGCGTGGCCGTGGTGGCCCCCGTGGTGGCGACCGTGCCCCCCGCGGTGACCGCCCCGCCCGTGGTGGTGCTGCCCCCGCTGCCCGCGGTGGTGCTCCCCGTGCCAACGCCCGTGGCCCTGCTGGCCCTACCGTCGACGAGAAGAACTTCCCCAGCCTCGGCGGCAACTAAATTGCCTGACCTTGTCGGGAACTCGTGCTCCCAGACACGAATGTCCTTTATCTTCCCGACTCTTCCATCCCTTTTCTCCATCTGCTAGGTGTGCAAGTTCACCCGGAGGTGGTATCTATTGTGTCGCTTCATCTGTGATGGTTTTTATTTTCTCTTTCTATGGGGATTGGGCCTGAGGGGAGGTTGGTGGGATGTGAAGGATTATCCGTGCTCTGCTGGATGCAAAAACTGCCCAGATTTAAGTTTTTTCTTTTCTCTTGGGAAAAGACATATTCCGGGTTGGTCTTATATGTGTGTTGAGTGTGTGTGTTTACATTTGCCTTCGATGAGCAAACGCGAATTGGATGACTGAATTCGACGGGCCCATGTAATTTGAATCGATCCAGAAGAAGTCAACAAAAAAATAGGAACGCAAAGAAATCTTCAATTGAATTACGGGACATGTCTGCTTCTTACACTCTAGAGAATCATGTAGTAATCTATAGATCTACTAGTGGGGTTGTACTTTGATAACTTCGATAAGCATGTATACGACGGACTTGCACCAAAATAGACCAAAATCGGGCTTGTATGTATACTTGGATTTACCCAAGGTGCTATAATCTTAACCCTATCTAGCTATGTACTAATGATAAGATTGCCAAAAGTGCAAAATTCTGGCCCGGGTTATGGATGCAAAGAAAACGAGAGACGACAACAGATCCACTGTGTCCACTGCCTTTCTTGCTGTGATGAATGATCTTCTACAGCTCTCCCTCGCCATGGCGGTTATGGCCCGACATGGTGAATTCCTTCGCAGCAGACTCGGCACTCTGGGCCCAAACCGCCAAAGTCTCCTCATCAACCTCATCGAGGAAAGACAGGCCAGGCATGGCCTTTCCACCACAGGCACGCTCCAACGCTAAGAATGCAAAATGGCCACCAATGACAGGCCGGGCGAAGAAGTTCGGACCAGGGAAGCCTCCGTCACCCTCCGTGTTGTGCAAGTCCGTGAATGGACGATCAGTGGTGGTCTCATTAACCCAGCGAGCGACAGAGTCGAGGATCTCTGTACGCACAGCCTTAGAGGCGACAGCCATTGAGAAGAACTCCCAATCGGTCTTGGTGTACATGTGGCGGCTGTCGAGGGGCAGACCGTACTTCTGACGCACATAGTGATACCAGACAGACTGCTTCTGGTAGATGTGGCGTGGAACAAAGCCAGGCGAATCAGTATCGGTATCCTCTAGGTGGAAGCAGAGCTGGGCATCGGCGTAGAGATTGTAGATTGTTGTCCAAGAGCCATACCAGTCGTAAGCAAGTTTGGCATGGGAGCCATCCCGGGACATGCCAAACTCCTCCCATTTGGCGATGTAGTCGCTGGCAACTTTCTGTGGGGTGTAGTTAGTAAATCTGTCAGGACACACAGACAAAAGACGATTCATACCTTGAAATAAGCAGCATCGGCATCATGACCGGCTACCTCGGCGATCTTGCTCATAGCGTTAATGCCTACAATTCCCTTGAGGGCCAGATTGGTTTGGAGAGCCAGCCAGCCTGCAAAGTCATCGGTAGAGACTGTCCTCGAAATTAGCTTGGGTAAACACACCAACAGAAAGACACGGAAATGTTCTTACGTTGGTTAGCAGGCTCAAGAGAGAACTCGACCAAATATCCCGTCCACTGTTTCCAAAGACTATAGCTTCGCTTCACCCATTTCTCAGCCTGGTGCTGGCCCTTACTACCGCCACCCCATTTGCCATCTTGGTGGGCAATTCCGGACAGTACCTGTAGATTATCAAGAGGGAACAGTCCAGATGTCTCGCTTTCAGGGCTTGACGAGGGAAGCCCCTGTGTTGACCAAATAGACGAGGCCGCGGTAGTGTCTTCATAACGAAGCGAGTTCACGATAGCCAAACCCATGATGAGGATATTACCACACTCTTCGACCGGCATGTACTCGTCATTCCCGTCAGGATGTCCGGTGGCATTGGGGAAGTGTGTGCCCAAATCGTGCATCGCATACTTATTGGGGTATTGGCCGCTCAGCATGTGCTCAATCAACGGCTCCAAGAGGTACGCCAACCACCGGGGATTCGTGTACATGAAGAAGGGGAACGCAGGGAAGATGACATCGATAGTTTGGAAGTTGCCATTGGAAGAGATCTCCTTTAGGAACAGGATTGGGTCATCCGGTGTTCCTGAAAAGGTAGTGGCGCCCATGACCTGCCGCGCAGTAAGGGCAACGATGTCAACGTAGTCATCGGCTCCCGACAAGTACGCATCGTCTGCCACTTGCTGGGAGTAATTAGATGCTAGAGAGCTAGCCGCAGCGTAGTCCCGGTAGTGGAAATTCAGGAGGTCCTCTGTTGTTGGGTACCAAGATTCCCATAGGGGTCGCATCAGGGTAAGCCCACGAGATGATGCATATTGAACAACGGGGATCTGGATAAACGCGAGAGTAAAGGTGACACTGTCGTTGTAAATCTTGGATGAATGGCCAAGATGGAACGATTTCGAGAACGCAAATACCGGCGCTCGATCGTGAATAGCGCGGAACTTGTCATCGTTGGTGTTTTGCAGAGCTCCAGAGCTTGCGAAGCCTCGGCGTACATCAGACGCATATCCAGACTGAAATTTAGCGTCCTGGCTTTCGATTAGCTATATATCAGTTCATTTCGACGAGACAGGACTTACAGATGGTCCGGTGAAATGAAGAGTGCCCCATTCCGCACGGTCGCGAGTCTCTGTGAGAAGAAGCTCGGTCTCCCTCTGCACTTGCCATCGATTCAATGTGGACTCCTCGTGCTCGGTCTTCAGACTATCCCTTTCCCATTTTATCTTGCTACCGGTATCTCCGCTGACCCAACGGCCGTCAACATCCATATAGATGCTGACATCGATATCACCTTGGACATCGATTGTGACATAGGAGGCCGGGATTGACTGCCGCAGAGTCGAGGTTGGCGTAATAGGTGAAAGGAATGAAATTGTAATATCGAGAGGGTTTCCGGTACCAGTATCAACGTGGTAGGTCAGGTTGGTCGTTGAGGCATCATAGTTCAAGCCCAGGTACTCGGGGAACTTGATCTTGTAACTGTAATTTGTTAGTACCTAAATCCCCACAGATGAGGGGGTTTTTTTTAAAATCCATACTCTGACTTATCATCCAAAGTCTCATGAGGTTTTCCAAGAAGAGGGTAGACAGTATTCCGACTTGGGAGGTGAGCCATCAAAGAAAGTCCCACTTCCTCTCCAGTGTAGAACATGGGCCATTTAGACCAAGGTGCATCCCGAGCATTTGCGAGCCAGGTGCTCAGATATGGATTTCGTACAATCAAAGGAATAACGGGTGGAGTGAGCGAAGATGCGGTGCTAACCGCGGCCTGGAAGACAGCGGCTAGAACCACGAGTAACAACTGCATGGTCACTCTTGGCGAAGGTGACACAGTATTGGTTCCACTGTAAAAATCTAGAACGGGAATAATAGGTCAACTTGCGTAACGAATGTGCAACTGAAAGAGTTGTAGCAATGTTGGAGAAGAGAGGATCAAGGGAGGAAGAGAGAGAATGTTGGAAGATGAATGCGGGGGAAGGATCAAGGATCAACGTTGGATGTCATTCCTTGGCTTTTCTAGTGTTGAGATGAGTTTCGAGTTGTTCTAGTCATCTCACACTCTCTTTTCTATCCTATTTCTTCTTTATAGTACAATTCAAGTCAGCCCTGAAGGATCTCCTTCTCATCCTTCGATGATGTCATGCGGAGAGAGCACTATCTAATCATACTATACATACATATACTTAGGTATGCATACTATGCATACTATATTTATTCCGGATATTATACATTGCCAGTCTAGTATACTTTGATTGAATTGTAAGTAAAGCATGACCAGAGATCAATCTGGAGCAGCAGTGGCAAGTTGAATGAAAAGCGCAATTACCTGCATGTGCGATCTATACTAAAACCAAGGTCCGAAAAACTAGGGCAACATCCATCCTTCCCTAGGACATTACCGTAATTGGAGGTTTATAGGAGATCCAAAGGGAAAGAAAAAAGAGGCTAGTTCATGCACCTGGATGCATGGAGTTCGTAATGTCATTTATCACAAAGATATTGTTCCACACGATGTACCTCAAGTCTACCATGGGCTATTCTGTTTTTTTTCCCCCGAGCTAACTGTACTATTACATGTACCTCACCAACTTATCCCTGCTAGACTTTTAGTACCAAGTGAATTGTAAACAACATTTCTGTTTTTCTAGAATTTCATCATAGACCGCGCTCGTGGGTCTCTAGCCCCTGTGGATCCAGGACACGAAAAGCAGCAGACGCGCCCCAGGCCGGGGTTGGGCACTTGGTGTGTATGGAATGATTGTGAATCTTTATAAAATAATCCCAGGAAAGCAAATTGAAACACCAGGGTATATAAAATAGAACCTAAGAGACATTGAATGTTCAATATCAAAAAGTCTTATATGGGAGCATTGAGAAGAAAAGTCAATTCTATACGGACTACGCGTCGATAATAACCAGCATATAGTAATATAATAATATAGTAAAGTATGAAACATTCTAAACCAAACCGTTATTACTATTATTACTATCATTACTACAGTATCAAAACAATTGCAATGTTCCAAAATCCAAACGCGTGCTCAACACGCCTATGTGGAGCCAGTCCGTGCTCTATACAAGGCTAGTAAGTTATCGACTAAACGCGATCGACGCGCGAGACCGTTTTTCTTTTTCTAGACTTCCTACTTCCTTTCTACTTTCTACTTTCTACTTTCTATCTTCTACTTCTTAACTTCCTACTTCCAATTGTGATAACTTTGAAAGTCGCAATTCTCTTTACATTGGGTCGCGTCCATATCAGACTCCCCCGCAGTACTCCCGGATTCTGCTCCCTCGACCTTCTGTTCCCCTCAATTCTCCTCTTGAAACCACCTGGACACTATCTTTGAGCTCCATAATGAATTCGACTTCAGTGCAGTCAGTGCAATTCAGTCCTATCAAG